TATGAAAACATGTCCCCTAGTCTCCTATTTTGAATGGTGAAAATTGAAGCTCTTTGGCTTTTTCCTATCGAAAGTTATTCAAAAAAAAAACAGTCATATACCATTCTTTTTTTGGATGGACAATAGTTCAGGTCTTATCACTCTGGTGTTTAAATTTATAAATTTTCATGTTATAAGGATTTGTGAACTCCCAATTGTGGGAATGCACCAGAGATAGATTCACAGTTGAACAAAAATTTATTAAGAGTATTTTATAATTTTAACAGAAAAATCTCAGGAACAAAAATAACCAATGCCTAAGCACTTTCAGTAATATCAGAGAATAACTTATTCTTACCTTCTCACTTTCTTATTTGCACGTTCAGTCTTAGAACCGTTTCCCATGAGGTTAATATTAAACGTAACAGCACTCAGACATTAATCTGCCAATAAAATACCGAAAACTATTACAAATATATCAGAGTGATGTATTTCTAAACGGAACAAATATCAACATTGTGAATACATGATGCTTGTTGTCAAAACCGCAAATGAAATGAAGAAAAATCTTGATAGATATCAGCAAGAAAGTCGACAGATGAATCATGACGAAACGAAAATGAAAGAAGAAAAAAATCAGCTGTTTACTGGTGTAGAAAAAAGAAAAAAAATTGCGTTTACGAATAAAAAATATTTTTAAAATAATCTATGCACACTTTCAGAGCTTATTCAGGGCTTTCATTTAAAATATAAATATTAAATACTAAAGACTAAGATGTTTTATTGACAAATACAGAAAACAAAAGCACTAAAAAGATATCTTACAAGATTTCTATTATAACTACTGTATTAAATTCATTAAAATAGAGCGTTCTCTGTCATATTACTTTGACACATTATATATTAAGTTAACCATCAGATTATCGAATTTCACGCAAAATTCTCTCGGCCGTTAAATTCGAAAAATGCTGGAATAGAATGTAAACTATTATAGTTGCCAAAAAAGAAGGCCGGTGGTTGTTTCTTTAATAACTCGCCAACGATAAGTACTAGAAATCTGCGGTTTTCAGCAATCGCAAGTAGAACATTGTAGCTAACTTTTCGCAAGCAAAAGCTTCATTTTGCTAGGCACAGATAAGCCAGGGATTTTCCCCGAAGCCTTAGGACTGCTTTACTATTAGATCTAGGAACCTTAAAGATACATGGAAACATAGGTTATCGACTATGCTGAATCTCGTGGCAACTTTTGTTTTTTAAAACAGTTCCAAAAACCTGGTGAGAACGTGTATTAGATGAAATACCCCATTTTTGCCTATTTTTGAGTAAGTCAAAAAATTCATAACCCAGTCAAAATCCATCCAAACTATGTTGTCATACAAAGATGCACTCTATTTTACCTGTTCAATACTATGCAGTTCAATAAAAGCTTTAAAAATCAACAAAAAGTACTTTAGTTTTTGAAAAGATTTTCTAGAAATCTTCCGAAGTACAAGAATGTTTCTTGCTATTCTCAAGTAAAAATCATTTGGAGCAGGTACAATAGAGTGCATCTTGATATTCTGACATAATTTGGATGGATATTGACTGGTTTATGAATTTTTTGATTTTACTCAAAAACAGGCAAAAATGAGATATTTCACCTTGCGACTGCTGAAAACCACAGGCCTCTAGCACTTATCGTTGTCGAGTTATTAAAGAAACAACCACCGGCCTTCTTTTTTGGCGAGTATAATAGTACGAAAAAACGAGAAACTGCATTTTCGTATCACTAGAATTTATTGTATTTCAACAAAAAGATAGTGCACCTGACAGAGCTTTCCTCAGTCTTTTATACACTATATGAAAAATCTAAATTATATAAAGAAATACGCCAGTTAATCAACTAATGTCAGGATTAACTGCCCAAGTCGAATAATTCTATGGTAGGATTGGATAAGAATCCTGTAAGATTGGTAGGTTCCAGAGACCGTCGCAGGGCAGGGCTGCCTTGTTGTCCTGTCCTGCCGGGTAGGGGGATATATGTTTTTTGTCTGTTGTTTCCTTGTTCCATGACAGGACAACAAAAAATTCCTTGATTTGCCCTTCGAAAGATTGATTTTTGAGATTTTCAAGTTTCTTTTTAAGTAAACTCGTATATGGGAAAATAATATATTTGACCTCTCGTATATGTGAAAATAAATGGCAACCAACTTTTCTAAAACTGATAATTAATAAAAAAAAAGATTCTGTTATGCACGAGAAACACATCCAGTATTTGTGATGAATTTCTTGAAGATGAAGTCTTCTAGGTTAAGGAGAAAAATTTTCTCTTGTACTGCAGGGCCAAAAAATTTTTATAAGTAATTTACTGGCAGGGCAGGGCAAAAAAATTGCCCTGCGATGGTCTCTGGTAGGTTCCTACGACTTCTTGTAGGATTCCCATAGGAAAGTGGTAAGTACTCGTTTCATCAGAAAATACCTATCACTCCTTATAGTAGAATTCTCATAGAAGTGTAGCAGGATCTGCCAGGGTCGTAACAGGGTCTTATAAGATCGGAGGTGACATTGATTATATAGGATCGTAACGTAGAAAATGGTAAGAATTTACTGAAATCCTCTAAAAGAATATCATAGGATTCTTTAACTAGTCACTCTTGCCCTTCATTTCATATAGTTGATACTCATTTAATCTGGGTACCCCATTAGAACTGGAACTAGCAATGGTTCTCTAGACACTCCGACAAATATTTCGGTAGGACTAGCCGAACTTTATTCTCTAACACCGAGAAAACTGCTCAAAAATTTCAATGTAATATGTGTTCTTCATATGAAGTTGTTACTGAAAAGCAAAACGGTGAATAAGAATGCATAGGAAAAAGATGAACATTTTTAGGGTTAAAATCCTATCATTTTCTACTGTACGAGTCTGTAAGAATCCTACGATTTTCTATCGTGGGAAACTGACAGAATCATAGTGTATGATTTCTTACAAGAAATGTCACACGTTCGTAGGGTAGAAACACTACGATATTACCTATGGTAGAATTCTATCTGATTCTATGCAAGGAGTCTTACATTTTCCTACGGGTATAGAATAGTATGACATTCCTGTAGGATTTCTGCTAGGATTTTTGGATTCGGATGTTTTTGGAATATTATTCTTAGGCATCTAATTGTTGGTTACACTTTATACACTGGTTATACTTAGCCCTAAACTTTTTTTCTCCTATAACTGTCGGCTGACAACTATGTTTGCTCCAGTATTCCTGTTAATTTAATGTTTAGATTTAACGTGCGATTTTTTACTGAAGGGTTACAGATTGCAATTTTTTTATTACGTTCATTTCCATTCACAAGTGTTGTAAATTTACATGCAAGTAAAACACGATTTTTTTAATATATCAAACGAATACCCTGAAAATGGAGTACAACATAACTTATCTGTGCGCTTTTTTCTTTCCACTAAATGTGCACAGATTATATTCGTAAATGAGGAAAAATAACATATATTGTGACAATAACATAAAGAGGAAATGAAAATTGTATAAATTCAAAATTTTCATTCAACGAATTTCCCATTTTCTTTAAAAACGAAAAAGTGCACGACATTTTTTCACTCTTTTTGTCCATCTCTGCATTATAAAAGTAAACATATGCTTTGAAGAAATGAAGAAAAAAATGTTGCGCTTGTTGTACTCTTCCTTATCGTATCAGGTTAAAAAAGATTGTTGCTCTTAGTAGTGGTTGTATAATAGAGCAAAGATTCAACGATTTCTACGTTTCTTTGTTACAAAATGTAGCTTTGACAGGACAGTGTTACGTTTAAACATTAGAAACTAGCAATAGTGAGAAACCGTCTATAATCATTTGATTCATCTCACCACAACTTGCTGTTTCTTTTAGAATTTTCTTTAAAACATACCATCAGTTGATAGAAGCGAATTAAAATTAAAAATCGTAGTATACATACATTTCAAAGTGAGTGAGTACCAAGATCGTTCTAATCATTAGCTAAACATGTTAACTTGTTTCAAATATTAGCTATTTATTTTTCGTTGTCAAATGCCAAATTTATTTGAAAAAGGATATCTGTTTCTCATCAAACTGGTCAGAAAAAGAAGAGAAACACACTTTGTTAAAATGATTAAAACTATATTTAGCTTGTTGTTTCTATTTCTAGACAAATCATTGAATTATTTATCAAATAAAAAGCAATTAAGTTTAAGCATATGGTATGACTGGATTATTTAGAATTAAAGACTACCGAACAAGGTTATTTTTACACAGTTTCTTACAGAGTAAAAAGAGATGTATTTGTACTAAAACATGTACCTTTAAACATTCTATTGGCAAGCGATATTTTTATTATACAGTTTGTTCTCAATGGCATCCAACATGTTCGGCTACGTTTAGCTTTGTAATCAATACTGAATTATCTTGCACACAAGTTTTAATTATTTGAAAATAACAAAACAGTAGAGAATATATACTTTGTCTAACAGTCTATTATATGAAAAAAATCGAAAATAGAAGTATTATAATATTCACAACTCTATTTAGTTTGCTAGAAAAAACTGTCGGTATTTTCACCGATTAGTTTTTAACAGAGAGAATTCAGGATTTCTATTCAGATTCGACAAGCTTCGGCTATGATTTAAATGAGGATAACCACCTCTTAAACTGCCAATAAATGATAATTCATCATCAATATACATTTGGTCCTTAAACAAAAACAAATTAAACGGTATTGAACACTAAACTGATTAATAAATGATTCAACCCGTTCATCTTTTTTAATTTTCATGCATTTCGTACATAAAAAAAGTTATATTTAAGTTAGTGTACAAAATTCTTCAGTTTGCACTGACATAAACACTGATTTAGGTGCTATCAATTATGGTCGTTAGAATATTGTAGTTTTAACAAACTAATCCTAATACAAAGAATTACATTTTTGTTCACCATCACATATTTCAACGTACCTGAACTGCGTGTAATCGAAGTGTTCTGAGCAATGAACTTTCGTCGATTGAATATGGATGTTGCTGCTGCTGCGGCTGAATAGATGATCTCGTTGATAAATGCATAGCTAAAAAAATTATAGAAACATTTTTATAGACCAACTCCACTTAATTACAAATTGATTTTTCATACTTGAGAATCCTGAATCGATAATTGGTGATTGTCGTTTCAATGGAACACTTGAACGAAGTTGATTAAGAGCATTTCGCTCGGTGGTCAGTCGTGCATATTGCTGAAAAAATGAGTACGTCTCGATTATACTGGAAAACTGAACATATGACAATACATCATACTTCATTAATTATTTCTTCTTTCTGTCTCAAATCTCTAATTGACATTTGTAATTGTTGTAATTTTCCATTATTTTTTCCATCAATAGTTTGTGTTTCAATAAGTAATTTTGACAGGTGTTCTCGTTCTTTCTCAATATGTTGATTTAATTGTTCTGTATCAACCGTTTTTTGTTGTAATTCAGAGCGTAAATGAGTCAATTCTTTTCGATCATTATCTACTTGTTGTTTCAATTCGAGTATTGAACGACGTTCCAATTGTAAACTCTCTTCCCGATGTTGTAGTTCATTTTCACGTTTATCTAGACGAGAAATTTGTTCGCTTATTGCTCGTTGATTACTGCGCATTTCAGCCTCAATCTAAAACAAGATGAATAACATATTATAAATTATAAAAATTTATTAAATTATGACTCATACCGTTGCATTTTGAATCATATCTTTATGTTTTTGTTCATTAAATGCTTTTTGCATCGCGTCTAGACGAGCACGATCTTCAGCAATCTGCGTTTTACTATCATATAAATGGGTAAGTGCCGTTTTTTGCTCGTCTAATAGCTGATCTTTTGCACGTTGAATTTCTAAACGTTCACGTTGAAGTTTTTCTGTAAATAACCTTTGTTCACCTGTCAATGAGTCTTGCATGGCCTCCATACGTTTTTGAGCTTGTAAAGCTTTCCAACGTTCCTTTAAAAAATTTTCATTTCATAATATTTTGCGACGAATATATGGGCAAAAAACTCAATTATTTATCTAACTCTTAGCTTACTTCTTCAACTAATCGTGTTTGTTCCGATAAATGGACTTCTAGTCTACTGATTAATTCTTGAAGATTTTTACGTTCACGTTCAAAATCATGTGCTTGCTTTTGTAAACGATCGTCGTATGCTAAAACAGAGAACTTTTCTCTAGTTTTAAAAAGTCTTCTAAACATTTCTAACCAACCTTTCAATTGTTGTTCCTTTTCACTCAAAACAGAAGTATGTTTTGTATCCAGTTTAAGACGTAATTCGTCAATGTGCTTCGCATTCTGTTCCATGTGACCCACAACTGATTCAAAAGCTCTTCAAGAATAACAACAAAATATAACCTCAAATATATTCAAGGACAGAGTTCTTTACCTAGTATGAGAAGTAACGTCCATTGCCGTCGAGATTTCTTCTTCTTTCAATTGTCTCAAACGTTGCAGAGTTTGTTCGTGTTCTTTACGCAAATGATCGATTGCTTGTCTAATTGTAATATGTTGCATAATATCAGACTGAACAGTTCTTTGAATACAAACCTTTGTAAAGTTCTTAAATTTTCTAGCTCCATCGTTCGATCACGTTGTAAATCTTCTAAACGTTTTTGATGCTCAAGTGTAAGCGTTGTTTTTTCTGTTTCAAATTGCCGTGTACGATCATTCAATTGACGCATTAAATGTTCATTTTCTTCTTTATATCTGAAAATATCAAACATTTTATGACGCCTTCTATTCTCAATATGTGCTTACTTACCTATTCTCTCGTCTTTCACATGATTTTTCAACATATTCTAATCGATTTTTATAATTTTCTTCTAACATGGACATTTCTGTTTCGTGTTGTCGTTTAATGTGATCAATTGTCATTTTTAATTCATTATTTTCAAATTCCAACTTTTTCAACTAAAAATAAAATGATCATCGCAAGTTGAAGATATCAACAATGATCATTCAATAGGTAAAGATATTAACATACACTTAAACTTGATGTGGAATTTGAGCTGTGAGTTTGTTCAACTGATGAGATCTACAACGTAAAAAGATACTAGGAATAACCTTCGATTGTTGTTTTCATAAACCTAACTGTTTTGAACATTTCATCTTTTGACGTATCCATAGTAAACGGTTTATTATCTTAAATAAACAATGTAGAGCATAAGAATACCGTGACTTGACGTAATGTTAATACATACTGATGTCGGATACTTTTGTTTCAAATAAATTAGACTCCATATCGATTTTTCTATTACCAACGATATTCTTCTCTTTTATTGGCTGTTTTTGTATTTCTAGACTCGTTGAAACTGAATTCGATTTAGTTTCTTGAAATTTATTTCCCCAATTCCACTGTTCTCCGTCTGCTGTTATTCTCCTTGCTACTGGCTTTTCTTCTAAGTCTTTCTTATCGAGTGTTTCAAGCATTTGATCAAGTCGTGACATCGTGTTCGTTACGGGAACATTTGTTTCTATCACAGATTTTTTTGGAGGTAAAGACGTTAATTCTGTCTTTTGTTTTACCAACGGAACAGATGAAATCAGTTCAGAAAGAGGATTCCGAAGCTCCTCTTGTTTTGAATGATATTGTGGTTCGCGATCATCGTCATTATCATCATCATACACGTTATTATCAGTCAAACCTAAATATGCGTGTGGCTTTAATGAAGCAGTCATGTCTTCGTTGATATTGCCACTTTTTGTCGACGAAAATGTTTCGAAGGATTTGGGCTCGAGACCAGTCCTAAGCATCGACAAGACACTTTTTCCTTGATTCAAAGACTGTGATGGAGCGGTGGATGGTCGCGTTAACAAATCCAAATCATCGAAGTCATCAAACCTTCAAACATCAAAAATCATTTTGCCTATCAAACATCGCATATACGACATATGGAGAGGTGTATTCATAGAAAAAAGACTAGCTTTATCGTACCTAACAGTTTTTTTACTCTGACTCTTGTCTGTATCGCCAAGATTTTTCGAGCCATCCTTTTCATCGAATAAGCCTGAAATCCGTAAAGTTAACGTTATTATTGCCAATTCTTGTCAAATTACAGTGAATTTTTATACTAACTTCCAAATGGATCATCGTACTTCTTAGAACCACTGGCTGTTGCTGGTCTTGGCTGATCTAAAATACGTTGTAACGTATTCGTGCCTGAAATAATAGCTAAAATAAAGTAAACAAGGAGTGAACTTCTAAGAGAAAGTATATACCTGAAGTATTCGTGAAACCACCGAAACTTGGCGAGTAACCCGTTCCTCCACCCGTTCGATTTAAACCATCCTCATCATCACCATCATCAATCGAGCGTTTCGTGATTGTAAGTGGCAAAGATTTTTTAGTGTCCTATTAATCAATATAGAAATGGAAAAATTCAGTTTTCTGTAACCGACACAACACATCCTAAGTCAGGTTCTTCTAGTTTATTATGTAAAATCGAGTCTTGGTCGCGTGCTATTAATTGCATGTGCTAAAGACGACCTATTATCAGCTTTTACAAAATCGCATGGTATGTGCAAGAATCAAACTGAAGAGTTCAATACTGGCATATCTATTACATATAAATGTTCACATTATTCAAAATATCGTTCATTCTATTGATTTGATGATAATGTGGGGTAATCCACAAAGTCCAATTCAAATTGGAAATTAAAAAGGATGTGGACGACCAAAAGATATCTCCTTTTTCCTTGTAATTAAAAGAAAAAGGAACAAAGAACGAAAGACTATATATTCTACTACTATTACGTTGCACATGCATATATATTGCACCTTCTTTAATATATATCAGACATGTCTAGATAATTCCTTTTGTTTTTGTCAGTGTGTGAAGAGCTTTTTACAATGTCATTTGTTCAGGTTGTTACTGTTTTTTTGAGTATTTTTATGAGCCTGACCATTCTATCTCATACATAAGATGTTAGATTGGTTACAACAATGAACTACTACGAGAGATAGTATTTACGCATATGTATTCTCTAGCAGTCTAATCACGAACGCGTGATGTATGCATGTACACGTAGCCTCATGGATAATACTCACAGACAAACTAAAAACTGACATCCTTTCTGTCTCTCTCTCAAATCGAATTTCAATTGAGAAATACCATGACGGAAAAGCTTACGTGTTTGCTACGTTTTCAGGTAAAAATACCTTTTATTGATGAAATACAGTTCACTATAGATAGTTTTAATGAAATTTACGAATTTGTTTCGGTTCTAGGGTTTTCTTGTAGCTTTCTTCAGAAATAAGGTAAAAAAACCATCATAAACTTTCAAAGTGAGCAGCCAATTTGTAAAAAACATCAAATTACGTATGGACACAAATTATTAGAATTAATCAGCTAGTTTTTTTATACAGTTACTGCATAGGGATGACATATTAGTATTACTTTCGTGAATCATAATAATAACCATTTATTGCTATTACTATTATTGACTAATATTTATATGCAAGTGCATATAAATATTAGTAGTCAATAATAGTAATAATAATAAATAATAATAATAATAATCACCTATTATTTTAAAAAGCAACATTTTTTGCATATTGGAAAATTTAAATATAAAACTGGACGAATGTTAAAAGCCTTTTTTACATATAAAAGTAAACCAGGTGATGTGTTTTACAAACTGGCATTCTCGAAATTGCTCACTTTGAAAGTTTGTGACGGTTCTTTAGAGTCCTTAGTTCTAAAGGCAGCTACAAGAAAAGCCAAACAGCTAACACACAACTACAACTGATTATACTTATTTTATTTCTTTTTGTTTAATTTCATAGGTTTTTCTTAACTAGTGTTACAGAATTAATTCTTTTTCAATCTACAGATTCTTCGGTTTGTCAAATGAAATAAAAATTTAATGTAGTGAGTGAGGTGAATATACGACGTGAATCACGAAAGGGGAATTTTAAATCGACAATAGTGAATTAATAGCGCTCGCAATGACACGTGAGGCAAGTATTTTTACTGTTTCACCATGTCAAAACAGCGACCATGAAAAAACGAGTGTTCTTGCATGAATCATAAATTAACCCAAGCCGCGATGGAGAAATAAGAAAGTTTGCTTGGATTGATAATTACTTTTTGCCTGGTAAACCAATCTCCATCGAATTTGTTATCTTGTTTAGTTAATTTTTCTTTATTTTTTCGAGAAAAATTCTTGTCTAAAAGTAAAATTTTTCAATGGCCAAATTAAAATGTAAATCATTTCATATGCAACTAACCTCCATCATTGTCCGACTCAGCGAACAAATCGTTATATTTTTGATGACTGCCTAAAGACAAGAGGAAATATTGAAAGATTAGTACAATTAAATATGAGATATCTTTACTTACTGAGAGTCATTATTTTAAGCAAAACACCGTAAGTATCACAATATCATTCTTCATTTTCTATTAACAAAACTATAACATCTAAGACAAAAAAGCAATAATAAGTGTAAAATGTTAACCCACTTCCGATCATTTGTAAGTGGTATGAGAGTTACGCAGGATTAGACAGATCAATCAACATCGAACAATAACAAACAAGAGCAAAGTACTTGAAAGAACGGAATCTATTGCTCATTTCACCATATTTTTAAGTATAAAATAAAAGGATTAAAAAGAGTGGGAAAGGAATATTTGATTTAAAGGAGATATTTCCAAACTGTTTTTCGCTTTTCAGAAAGCCATTTTCCTTTAGTAGTTTTTTGGATTCCCTAACCTTCAAAAATTATCGCCATCTTACACTCTGTAACCATGACGAATAGTCACTACAAAGGCGATCTGTTGAAGATTCTATACAAAAGTTTATAACGACTTTCTTACCTAGAAAGTAAACAATAGATTTCACTATTCCATCTTTCTTACACTAAACCAGAGGAATAGATGGCGTACATTACCTGCTTCTTGATAAATCAAAAGTTGACCATTGACAAATCAGTTTCAGTTCGGAGAAAACGGTATTGAAAGAAAGTAAGCAGCTTAGTAAAAAACATGTAGCGACTTATGGAAAGCACCAGTTTTTGTTGATTATATTAGCTTTTATCTGTATTACATTCTTATCATTAGGCTGAATGATAGCACAGACTACTTACGAGGGACCTTTTCCAACTGTCTAATCGCTTTCTGGTCGAAACCTAGTGCGTTATAGGTGATCGACATATTCATTGTCAGCTCAACGCTACAGAAATTATTTACGGCTTTTCTTGTAAATTCTATAACTTTGCAAAGAAAGGTCATGTAGAGCTGGGAGGTGTCTCATTTTGATCAGAATTTCGTGGGCTACAATCGCGATCTATTAAGAGAAAGTTTTAGGGACTTTTCGAGGTTTCTGGGAAATCAGTTTTCTAGAAAAACGCTCTTGGAAGGCCTAGCGGCTCGTGTCATATGAATATTCGGTATCAGCGTGGTCGATAACCTATAAACCACTAGGTTTCGACCAGAAAGCGATTAGACAGTTGGAAAAGGTCCCTCGTAAGTTATACCGATAATTATTATCCGTTAAAATAAGAATGACCCGTGACCATTTTTTGTGTAAGTTTTGAATGGTGCTAACCAGAGAGCTGGAGTTTTTAGATACGGACAGAGGAGCTTATGAAGCATCTTTTTACAAGCGGAAACGTTTTTAGAGAATTTTCCAAAATTCCAGTTTTTCAAGAGCTTTTCGTGTATAATGGAAAAATTTAGAATACCAGGCCATCGATTTTTTTACATCGGTAGATAGAAAAAAATGTCCGCTTCAAAATGGGAACCAAATGATCTCTTAGTCTTTTGTAGTTGAGGTGTGGCATTGGATTTGCTGGAAGCCTCAGAATCGATAATCCCGAAAATGAATGGTGATATAGGTTATTGGTCACGTTGAGTCTCGTGGCAGCGTTTGTTTTTCGAAAAAAGGTCAAAAACCCAGTGAAAAAGGTCAAGAACCCAGTTTTTTAACTGATAATAGTATCATGTAATCATACTTACTGTGATCAAATCGAATTTAAATATTATAATCGTTGTGTACTAATTTGACTAAGATTTTTTCAAATAATCTAACATTCTTATGCCAATACATTAAATACTCGTTGGACTTTGTGAAAACCAGCTGCTATTGCACTCGTAAAAATACAATTGATGTGTAGTTTTGACACTGAGTCGCTATATACAAATATTCCCTTGATTATTAGTCAGGATCTTACAGAATAAATGATATCCCTGTCACGGATAGCGACAACTATTAAAAATTTCTTTGGTTTGTGATTCGTTTTGCTGCTTCAGCATTTGTTGAATCTAAGTTCGTATTGTGACGCCTGCTTATGTATACTCATATACTACTTATGATTTAATTTTCGATTCGTC